TGCGATAACATCTTCTGCGTCTTCTTCGACTTCATCTGGGGTAAGCAATTCAGCATCAACATGCTCCACCTCAACAGGAATCTCTCCCCGTTCCAGCTCTTCGTCAGCATCATCAGTTTTCTTGAAAGCCATCTCTGCTTCATTGAAAACTACATCTCGACTGGTGATACACCTCCTGTGACCTGGCTCTAGGCACCATAGCCTATAAGCTTTGACTCCTTCAGGGTATCCCATGAACACGCACTTCAGAGCTCTAGGTTCGAACTTGTCTTGCCTAATATGAGCATAGGCCACACAGCCAAATACTCTCAGTCTGTCGAGACTAGGTGGATGTCCCGACCAAACTTCTTCAGTTGTCTTCATTCCCAAGGCAGTCGAGGGACATCTATTTATCAGGTAAGCTGATGTCGAAACAGCTTCCGCCCAAAACACCTTCTTCAATCCAGTACTAACCAACATGCATCTAACCCTTTCAAGGATTGTTCGATTGAATCTCTCAGCTAAGCCATTTTGTTGAGGAGTACCTGCTACAGTCTTATGCCTTGCAATCCCAGACCCAACACAGTAACTGTCGAAAGCTTCGTTCAAAATTCAAGGCCATTGTCGGTTCTCAACCTCTTAACCTTTCTGCCAGTCTGAGTTTCGACTAGAATCTTCCAACTTTTGAAATTCTCAAAAGTTTCATCCTTCGTCTTCTGAATGAATACCCATAGTTTTCTACAATAGTCATCAACGATGGATAGAAAATACCTTGCACCTGAGTGTGAAGGATTCCTTGCAGGCCCCCAAAGATCAGCATGAATGTAATCCAGGGATCCATGTGTTCTTTGCTTGCCTTTGTTAAACTTCGCCCTACAGGATTTACCAAATACACAAGATTCACAAAATTCCAACTTTTCGACTTTGTCACCTCCTAGCAGGTTCTGCTTCCCCAATTCGACCAGGCCTTTTTCGCTGACATGGCCCAATCTCATGTGCCATAATTCTGTCTTCGACATAGATTTCGTAGATGCAACATTTGTCGAACCACTTACAACCTCAGCCTCAAGGGTATACAAGCCTTGTTTCTTCACGCCTCTCAAGACTTCCTTCGACCCCTTCATGACTCTTAGGATACTTTTCTCTCCTTGAAAAACATATCCTTTTCTGTCGAATTCACCAAGAGAAATCAAATTTCTCTTCAAGTCAAGTACGTACCTGACTTCAGTCAATAACCTTATTGACTCATCATGGAGCTTGAATCTCACAGATCCAATACCTGCAATTTTGCAAGATTTGTTGTTTCCTAACAGCACAGATCCACCATCTTGATCACATAGCTCCTCGAACAATTCTCTGTTTGGAGTCATGTGCCAAGTGCAACCTGAATCCATAATCCACTCTTTCCTCGAGTCGCCACTTGAAACCACAAGAACATCAGATGAGTCGAAGCCATCTTGAACAATGGTTGCATTGCCGTTACCTCCATGATCTTTCAGGCGTTCAGGGCACACCTTTCTTATGTGACCCTCCTTCTTACATTGATAACATCGAATACTAGATGTTTCACCACTATAAGACTTCTGTTGACTTTTACCTTTCTTCTTGTCGAACTTACCATCCTTTCGCAAGAATTTTCCCTTAACGGCCAAACCTTCGCCCACCGTCGAAGGTTTATGCTCCTTTCGTTCGTTCAAGTCCTTAGAATACAAGGCTGATTGAACTTCTTCAAAGGTCAGGGACTCCCTTCCATACAAATACAAGGCTGATTGAACTTCTTCAAAGGTCAGAGACTCCCTTCCATACAAATACTAGGCTGATTGAACTTCTTCAAAGGTCAGGGACTCCCTTCCATACAAGAGAGTTTCTTTGAAGTGAGCATGTGTTCTGGGCAAAGCACACAACAGCAACAGTGCTTGATCTTCATCATCGATCTTCACAACAATATTTTCAAGATCAAGAATCAGCTTGTTGAACATATCCAACTGCTCAGCCAACACTTTGTCTTCACTCATCTTGAATGAATATAAAGCTTGCTTCAAGTATAGTCGATTAACCAGAGATTTGGTCAATGTACAAACTTTCAAGTTTCACCCATAATCCTGATGTTGTAGTCTCCTTTGATACCTGTCGAAGAACCTTATCACCAAGGTTCAACAATATTGCGCTGTGGGCTTTCTCGATCATGTCCGTCTTTTCTTTTGTCGTTAACGCAACGTCCATGGCTGCCTCACCCTTCAACGCTTCCAAACAACCCTGCTGAACCAATAGGGCTTTCATCTTCAAGCGCCACAGACCGAAGTCGTTCACTCCGGTGAACTTTTCAATCTCATACTTTGTTGAAGGCATCTTCTCCACGCTCACCGCACCAATTTGTTGTGAATAGGATACCGTTAAACAAAGTATAAACGGTTTCTTAATGATCAAGAAACTCACAAGGGTTAGGGTTAATAAAGAAAACAAGGTAAAACAACAAGGAACAACAAGAATTGGTTATTAAACTGCTATTCTTTCCTTTCTCTTAGAACAAGATTACAAGTATACAAGAATAACAAAATAACCTCTCTCCCTTGAAATTAGGATTTTATCTTCCTATTTTTCCTTATGCCAAGATTGAGAAACTAGCATTCTATTTATAATAAAATAGCACACTAACCTAATGGGTTTTTTTAACAATTATCCATTACAAGCCAACTTATGGTACAAGCTAACTTAAACAATTGGGCTTACAAGCAAGACTCAATTCAACATGCTAACAACCCTAGCAATATTGACTAATGCATGTTAGAACAAACTTCGACTACAACACGCATTACTTGCGAACAGACTTCGACTATACTAGAGTTTGATCCAACATCTCACACGAGTCATATGCCTTCTGTACGTCCACTTGAATAGTACATCTAGGTGGACCACCTTTGGAGTTGCACCATTTGATTAACTCATAAGTAAGTAATACTTGGTCTTGGAGGTGATATCCTGGCACAAATGCTTCTAGACTATGATGCACAATACTACTAAGGACTGCACCCAGCCTAGAGGTAACAAATTTTGCAATGATTTTGTAAACAATCATGCAACAAGAGATGGGCCTGAAATCGTTCACTATTTTAGAATTATTTCCCTTAGGAATAAGAGTAACAATAGTCCTATTGAATGCAGTGAACATCTTTTCTTTAACAAAGAACATCATGTTTTATGACATTCCACGTGCTCTTAAAAAACTTGGAACCAAATCCATCTGCGCATGGGGAAAAGTTATCACTCATGCTCTTCAAAGCCAAATCAATCTCTTTGTTGCCTATATGGGTTACAAGGTTAATCCTTTGCTCCAAACTCAACTGTATTCCATTTCTTAAGGCCCCTATATCAATACCTCTAAGATTATTGGAAAATTTTCCCACTTTTGAGAAGAAACATCAACTTCATTATTGTCAAAACAAGATTTGATTGTTCATTCTTTTATTTTTCTCTATAAGATTAATTACTATCTCCCTGCGGATCCTCTAAGATTAATTACTATTATCTTTATTATCTTTAATGATAGGTTCCTTCAAAGATTTCCCATGCCATCACCTCTCATAGGCAAACTCTAGTTTTCTCTAACAGGCTCTATAAATCCCTCCACACCAATCACATCATTTTGGAATTTGAATTGGCACTTGCTAGGCCTATGGAAATTCAGGTAATCAAGACTCAGCATTGCATGATCTGAGACTCCTCTCTCCATAATTTTTACAATAACATTATCCTTCAATTGTAGCCATTTCATATTAGCCAAAACTTTGTCAATTTTTGAGTAAATGGAATTGCCATCTTGGTTGTTAAAGTAAGTGAATTGATCACCTATGCCATCTTGGTTGTTATTACCTACGGTCGTAAACTAATTGGAGCCACAGGAACCATTAGGGGTGATCTGGCTGTTGTTGTTGGAAGGTAATCCTACTCCCTCCATATTATATTAAAATTTTAACTCATAGTTTTATAAATAAACATGCTAGTTTTTTGTATCTCTAAATATTTGGTATTTGGTCATCATATAATGTTCATATTGCAGTTCATATTGCAGAAATATCAGCAAAGGATGGATGAGATTAAGTTGTGGTTCAAGCCAGAGGAATTGGTTAGTTTCACTAGCAATTCAGAGAAGTGGATTTATGGTGACAACTGAAATGGTTGTGCTCCTCCTATTTCATTCTACATGATTGCGTTTAATAAACGGCAAAACTGACCTCTGCAGGCCACCGGTAAGGGGCTGAGTATAATAACGTTAGTGCTAGCATATATGTCATTCAGATGGGAATTGTATTGTTTCATCTTCTGTTTTCAACAGTTTGGTGAAGACATTCGGTGACAGTTTATTTGTTTGATGTTACCAATAAGTCAAAACAGATAAAGTTAACAATTTTTTTTCAACAAAATATAATGATCATTGGTTATTCATTTAGTTACACTACTTGAATATAACAAAGATATCGCTGTTGTAAAGGCTACAGGGATGGTGATTCTTTGAAGACACTAGTAGTACGTATATTCATCGCCAAACCCCCGTCCAAACCCGGGATGGGATGATTTAGAAGCAGAAGACAATGTACAAGACAACTGCACAGCTAGTGCACACATACTCCAACAACTCAACTCCTGAGATGATCAACAGAATTCATTTTTATTCGGACAAAATATAGTCCGTAGAATTGGACATGGCAACAAAACTCGTAATTGCAGGTATCCCTAAAACCATAACTACTTAAAATTCAACAAGACCTAAACTACTTAAAACCATAACTACTTAAAATTCAACCAAGACCTAAACAAATGAAGTGAAATAAAAAAGTACATTCAACACTACGTAAAACCATAACTACTTAAAATTCAACAAGACCTAAACAAAACAAATGAATTGAAATAAAAAAGTGCATTCATCACCTTGTACTATGCCACCACCTAAACCGCATATTAGAAAACATGCTTTCAATTTTGTTTTGGTAAGAAAATGATTCTCCGTTTCAATCATGCAAACTTCAATTCAGAGCTTCTATTTGACATTCCAACAATGACCTTCCGTCTTCCAACATAATACTAGTGGATGGACTATTTCTTATGCAGCCAGCATGACTCTCAAACTCAATAATATTGAAATTATCGCGACAGCAATCACAAATTATACCATCAAAAACTATCCTCCCAATTTTGACAATATTGTTCCAACCTCGACAAAACACATTAGTTCCTGGAACCAAAACTCTATTCTTTACCATCCATGAAATAAATGTGCATCCTTCTCTTGTAATAACCTTTAATGCCTCTTCTCTTTTTTCAAAGACTTTTGAATTTAGTACTTCTCCATTTTGATCGCAACCATCTAAATTTGTATCCATTATCCTCGTATTTGACACCTTTTGTCTTTTTTGTCTTTTATAAGAACGTAGTGAATTCGTAATTTCTGAGGCTGGAATTGTTGTAACATTACATTTTTCATTAAAAGTTGATTGATCGGTTTCTCCAAAGTCTCTTGGTCGCTTTTTTAAATTTACTTGAGTTGATAGTGGCTGCACTGTTGTTGAAGCGTGTACGATGGAACAACCTTCATCTTCAGAAATTGTAGTAGCATTATATTTTTGAAGAGAAACTGAATTAAAGGCTTCAAAATCATCCTTGGAAGTTGATTGAACGATTTCTCCAAAATCTTTCAATCCCTCATTCAAATGTAGTGGACACGAAGAAGTTGTAGTTGGTGGTACTTGCACTGTTGAATAGCCCCCATCTTCAGAAATTGTAGTAACATTACATTTTTGAAGAGAAATCAAACTAAAGGCTTCAGAATTCTCATTAAAAGTTGATTGATCGATTTCTCCAAAATCGTTCGAAGAAATTGTTGCTGATTGCAGTTGTAAGGTTGTTGAAGAGTGTATGGTGGAACAACCTCCATCTTCAATACAACTCTCACATGCCTTCCTAAGAGATATATAGTTTTTTCCATTTATAGGCGAAGTATAACGCAATTCCCACCTATCCTTCTTGTTAACATACCAAAAATTCCACTTCAAAAAAACCAGATGTTGTTTTGCTTTCAAAGCCAAATCCCTTCTACTAAGACTTTCTTTACGATCTTCTAAACCTGTTAACCGATACCACTCAATCACAGCTTCTGGACAATACTCAGGTTTAATATCAATTTCAGGAGCTGATGTCATTTCAAAATCTTCAGCTATATACCAATTTGTAAAAAAAAATCATTGTTATTAATTAGAATTTCAAATACTCTAAATTTTTTACTATAAATCAACAAATAACTACACTAACATACCTTAGAAAAATAAAATTCAATTTCACAACAAATGAAATTACATCATTAACCTAATATAACATTATAGTGGAGTTTGAGCGGAAGCAAGGTGTGTATTTGAAGATTTGTTCATTTTTGGTAAAGGTTGAAATTTTTTTTTCTATTTTTGCGGGAATAAAAACTATATAAACCCTATTTAATAGAAAATGCTACTGTTAAGATGGAATTCAAAACAATATTTAAAAAAAATTAATAGTCAATTAAATAGGGTTTAGAGAAATAATCGACTATTTTCAATAACGGTTGCATTTGTTTCCTACTATTGAGGAGGATTATGAGGCAGAATTTGAGTGAGTTTGAAATAAATATACTGTTTTTCTGGAAACTAATCTTTACAGAAATTTACCTATGCCTGTTGAGAAATTCTAAATAATTTTTTAGACTGAGAAAACTAGAGTAACTAGAGATTTGAGTTTTAGTAATTTCATGGTGATCATATTCTATTTTCTAATCATCTTATTGCTTGCATGCAATAATTGCATGCAAGGATCTTGAGAATATCAAAATTTTACTGCCCTAACCTATAATCATGGTTGGTTTTCATTTTGAAAGAACTAATTACTTTCTAAACAATCGTATATTATTCTTCACAAGAATAAAAATTAAAATTGAAAAATATACACCAACCAATATCACAAACCAATATCACAAAGCAAAACAAGATATTAACACTGACCTAACACAGAGCACTTTCTGTCTTTGAATCAGTAGTTCCGTTTGTAGCAGAAGACTTGAAACACAGAGCACTTCGTTTGTAGCAGAAGACTTGAAACACAGAGCACTTCGTTTGTAGCAGAAGACTTTCAAGGTTTAACAATATTTCGTATATTTTGTTTCTATTATTTTAGGGTTTCTATTATAAAGGAGACGTTTCTTCTCTACAAAGCCCAAAAAAGATGAAGCCCAAAAAGGATGAATTTAAATGATATTTATTGTATTGTATTTGAGCTAAATGATGTTGTAGATATTTTGCTATAAGGATTTCTCAGAATGCACACCTAGTTTTAAATTATATCAATTTATTTTATAGAAAAAATTTAATGAAATTTTACATCAAATTAAATTGAATCACTTATTTTTCAAAACAAATATATAAGGGGTATTGTATTAATTAATATTTTTTTTATCAAAATGCCCAACTATTATTTATTAAGGATATTATTTTACTATTTTTCTATGAATTTAATTTATATTAATTGATAGTGTAATTTTTTGTGGTTCATAAAATATATAATTGGTCTGTTTTGATTGAATGTTTCTGTAAACAAAATATTTACTATTATTGAATAGAAATTAATCTCATTTAATATTTTAAAATGTTTTTATCAGAAATGTATTTTATGTCCCAAAAAATTAAAAAAAAATTAAAATAAAAATTTATTAAACGTTTTTTAAACATTTTTAAACATTTTAAATTTTGAAATACTCAATCACTAATAACTATTTTGAGAATTTCTAGTCAAAGCAATAAATACTTTGAAAATTTCTAATTAAAATAATAACAACTTTGAAAATTTGGTGTAACGGTCATTTTGTCTGAAAACACTAAATACAAGGAGTGTATCCGTTAAGAATTCTACTCTACTCACTCATGTAAAATTAGATAGATCTTTTCTTAATTTATACACTTTTTAAGATAATTATTTATAGTGTTAATAGTAAACTTATTTTTTACTTAATACAACTTTTAAAATTAACTTTAATAAAGATGAAATGAGTAATAAATTATAAAAGATTAATAGATAAGCCGGCACATGTGATATCATATATTAAGAAGTAAAGAAAATAAATGGTATTTCATCTATATTACTGATTTATATATTACTAGTGTTTCGGACTGTCCCAATGACTAGGTATGAACCAATTTACTTATGCTCTCAGAACGACTCAATTATCTAAGTCCAACCACTTTGGAGGAGGGGAATTTACCTTTCTGCCCCTCCAACGGGGGAGACTGCCCAATTTATCTTTGGCCACAACACTCTTCCTCGTCAGTCTCTGTCTGTCATGCACGGTTCCACCATCCAGAAACAGCCAAAACGCTTGTGCCCGTAACTACGCTTATGCCCGTGCCAACGGCTAGTTCTGGCAGTTACCTATTCTTCGGGAAACGGTTATCTCGCCCCGAAGATAGGGACCAATGACCAAGCGCTGGGGACATTATATAAACCCTATCACTTGAGAGGGTCAGGTATCAAAATATTCACCCTGAAACACTCATATTCTGTACTTACTATCACTCTATTGCTCATTTTCTTACTTTAACACCAGAGTGTCTTGCAGGTACACCCCTTCATCCTCTTTCACACCTAGCATCACAGACATCTGTCTTTGGCCCATCCCAAGTTCTGATCGGCTGGTAAGATCAGTGGCCCCGTCTGTGAGAAATCTTGTTATCCCTGTCTTTTCTCTCTTCGTAGAACACAAGACCAGAAGAACTCTTCAAATTTCTGATCATGGTTGCCCGTGACAACAATCTTGATGCTCGTAACTCTTCTTTTCTCCCCATCAGCAAGACTGATGCTGATGAGGCCACCACCTCTCGTGGCAGCGACGTCCTCCGACAAAGGGACGGATCCACTATTTCCCCGTCCCCCGCTCATACAGATCACGACGAGGTTCCTTTTGTCTCGCAACAACTATCAGTTCCAGTTCCGCCCAACACCGACCCGGCCATGGCGGCCCTTATCGAGGTTCTCAACAAAACCAACCTCCTAATCCTCAACCAGAACGCGAGGGTTGGAGCATTGGAAGATTTCAATTGTCTGAGATCCTCTCTGCCGAAGAAAGAATGTCACCCCTCCCCGGCGCAAAAGGAACTGTCAGACGCCTCTAGAGCCAGAGACCCTGATCATCCGTAAACGTTACTAGATTTCTCCTTAGAACCATCATTCCTCACAACTCAAGAGGACCAAAAGAGGTCACCAGGAAGAATCCCAATGTTCGCCTCCGTCCAGAGCCAAGGGTCGAGCACGAACCCCGTCTCCCCGACGAGACTTTCGTCCTGTCTACAGATGGGGTGCCCGTTCCCCGTCTTGGACCAGCAGCAGCGGCGACGAGCCTCGCGGACCGTTGTCCCAGGAGATCATGGTCGTGCGCCTCACAAAAGAACTAGAGAAACCTCCCTCTCTAGGCACATACGACGGAACAACTGACCCAGACGAGCACATCAAAAACATTGATGTCATCCTCAACTATCGCGGTGTCCGGGGCGCCATCAAGTGCGGGTTATTTCCGACCACACTGAGGAAGGGGGCAATGACCTGGTACAAAGGACTTCCTGATGACTCCGTCACCTTATGAAGGCAACTGGGGAGACTCTTCCCATGACATTTCACAGCCTCTCACTGTCATCTGAAGACCGAAGCCTCCCTTGAGGCCATCATTCAAGGGAAAGATGAACCTCTGCGAGCCTACATTGAGATATTCAACAAGGAGGTCGTCCAAGTCTCTACCACCGATGATATGAAAAAGTTTCTGCTCGAACGCAGGCTCCGTCCCTGCACATAATTCGCTAAAGTTGTTGGCATCTGGCCCCCGACAATGCTGGACGCCTTCCTCCTCAATGCCCAAATGTACATTTAGTACAAGGAAAAAGAGGTTGCCAGCTCTGCCCGTGATTCCAGGCACATGGAAAACGCCTGACCATCCAGGTCCAACGAGCTCTCGACATCCCGTCGAGGAGATAAGAGACGAGAAGGTCGTCCCTGCGAGCCCCGGGATAATAAGGAACCCTCCTGCTAGTTCTACGAATACACTCCCCTAACTGTTTTAAGGGAAAAGATCCTCACTGAGTGCGCCAACTTAGAATTTCAGATGAGAGGAGTCCGGTTTTCAAAGCAGATATCGTCCAAATCCAACACTGATAAGTCCAAATATTGCCGATTTCAGAAGAGCCATGACCATACGACTAAAGACTGCATCCACCTGAAGGATGCCATCGAAATACTCATCAGGGACGGACATCTGAAGCAGTTCTCCAAAAGAAAGGAAGTTCCTCGGATAGACGCCCAGGAGTCCCAGAAGGTCGAAGAAGAAGTGCCTTCCTCTGAGGAAGTCAACCTCTAGGTCGCCATAAGCGTGTCACGGCCCGAAAATTTCTCCTTATTTTGTCGCGCACAACCCGTGGGAGACGTTTCCATCCGCCATGGCCATCTCTGGAGAAGGTTTTAACAAAGTGATAGTAGGTTCCGTTAAGAGGAAATTTGAGCACCTCATCAGCAACAACTCAAACCGTAACTCTGCCCTCGACAGGGTCCGAGGAGAGTCTGTCCCCATCTTCTTCTACTGCGAGGAGCTCCTCGAAGGAGCCCTCAACGCCAACATCCATCTGCTCGTAATAGCTCAGATGGAAAATTTTAACATTCGACGAATCCTCGTCGACCAAGGAAGCTCTGTTGATATTATGTACCCCCAGCTGTTCTCTACGCTCTAGCTAGACGAGTCACATTTAACTCTTTATGTGGGCTCTGATCTACATGATTTTAATGGATCGGTGACAAAGCCCTGGGGTTATGTTGAGCTGATTGTAACCTTCGGATCCGCTGAAATGGCTAGATCAATCAAGGTACAATTCTTGGTTATAGACTATCCGTCATTATACCAATGTATCTTCGAACGACCAACTCTGGCCGAACTGGTGGTCGTACCTTCAACGGTACACTTAAAGATTAAATATTACACCTCTAAAGGCCTCATCACAACTCTACACGGGGACGTAGAAGCCGCGAGGAGATGCTTTGAAGCAGCGTCCAAGGGCCATCGCCATCAGACCGAAGACTCCTGCCTAGTCTCCTCTGCCCAACAGCTCCGACGAGGCGATTCCGCTTCCTCGCTTCGATTCCATCG